GTTTTTATACTTTTCTGCTTGTGAGCCAGTTACATAAAGCCGATTTTTTTAAAAATACTTACCACTTTTAATGATACTTTTAAAATCACAGAGCACTTTACTTAAAAAAATGTATGTGTAGATTATCTTGTACCTGCTTTTAATGAAAACTCTGTAGGAAGCTTTGAGATCTTCCTGTGGATGTTTGGCCTGTACAATTGTGTGATAAGCCAACAATAAAAACTGCTTAGTAGATGAATGCGCATATAGCCAGAGTCACATGACTTTTGGGTTTCGCGGTTGACCTTGTTTTCTCTGATTTTGAAAAAAAACAGTTAATTTTTTCTAAACTTAGGGTCATTAAACAAAGGTAGTTGTAATGTCTTAATCGAAATGTTAGCAAGATACAGAAAATACCATAGATGCTATAATTAACATCATAGGAATCAAACTTAAGTGAGATAAACGATTATATTATGTATATTAAATATTATATTTTCGCATTTTTGGCTTGCGATTTCTCCGTGCTGCACCCTCTAGCTAGGCACCCCTATAAATATCTCATTTGAGCATTCCCAGTATAGTCTCATCAAGGTTTTCCTAGAAGGTGCATTGACCCTGGAGTTAAGCTTGAAATTTTCTCTAATGACAAGCGTTTAGCTTGCGAATATATATTAATGCCCATAGCCATTTATCTTTCTCGGACTCAGGAAGGACCTTGAAAAGTCAAAAGTCTAAGCATACTTCTGTTTCCACTGCATTAGTTCAGGGAACAAAATGCACCTGTCAGCGGCCATCTCTGCCTTTTGTAGGCAAAAAAGACAGTCAATACAAACTGGGGAACATTAACCTCAAGTGCATTCAGAACCCGGTGGGTTCGGGCGTAGAAAAGAGTATAACACTTTGCACCAAATACGCATTAGGCCTGTGAACTATAAAAGGCTGTATTCATTCCGTTCGGGAGTAGAACTTCCAGCACCATCAACTGAAGTGTCATGTCATGATTCATTACTCAGCCTGCTCATGCGTGAAAGGTAGGCGGGTGGAAACGTGACTATCGCGTATAATGATATGGTAAATGTTACTGATGAGATCTCACGGCTAAATCGTGTAATTTAGGAAGTTGTTAGCCGTATCATTTATGATCGAAACTGGTGCCTTCCTGAATACCGCCAAACCGTTGACTCAAAGGACAAATCAATCAATCTCTAGAGTTTGATCTTTTCAGCGAGACTCGTTAAACAAAGTGTGTCCCTATCCAGGAGATCTTGCCTCGAGAGCGCCACCGAGGCCAAAGTGTTGGCTAATCAAGTATATATAAAGTAAATTTATATGCCGAAATATACGGGATCCAGCTATGGTATCGCGTTCCTCATCTCCCAAAGACAAGGAAGAGGAAGAAAAGGGGGCGGGTACATGGAACAAATTATATTTGAACTGACGTTTCGGAACCCTTCTAGCTTCCATCGTCAGAGTATTGTGGTTGCTGCTTCTGGGAGTCTTGAGTTAGCCAGCCTTACCATCCGCCTCCTACTATATCCGTGCTGGACGCGTGAACTTTGACCTACCCCTTCGTTGCCGACTGCATTTGGTCTCCCGGAGGTTGGCAGCTGGTGGGCTTGAGTGACCTTCGTCCCCTCTGCGGTCAACATAGTCCTGCATGTAGCCGCGTACCATTCAGACATTCGGTATTTGCTAACCATATACCTGCAAACTATTAAATAGACTGAGCTACGCCGAGTTATAAATTAATTTCCGAGGAAATTCAGAAACTGACAGTACAACCTACTTTCTTCATTTGACCTGTGGCTATTATAAATTAACTGGGTAAATTTTCCTTTGCTTAGTCCTCAGTTAATGAAGTATATACATGTGATAATTAGAAGTAAATTTACTTTTCGCCTCCTCCGGGAGCTAAAATTGTGTCAATTATTTACCTTTCCACCGCTGGCCAATACGAATTCATGCACTTATCATGCAAGTTTTATCTCGTCTACATTTGATCGTTTTAGTCCATCTGTTAAATAGGGGTAAACATCCATTTGTAAGATAAAAACAGGAGTTAGTACGGCATACTAAATACTTGAAAATGTGGCTGACGTTTATCCTTATCCTCGCACATCAGGCCAGTCCGAAAGCCAAGTGTTCAAAGCCGAGGAAGCAGACATGAATAAGGACAACTCAGAAGGGCCATCGGTTAGATCAGCGAATCCCTACGATCAGCCCCAACAAGATGCGGCTTTCATGAAGGAGGTCGCTGACACTCCTGAAGCCAGCGCCTGTGAGCTGAACTGCAATCTGGACGAAGTTCAGCCTGTCTGCGGAAGCGATGGACGTACATATCTGAATCCCTGTCTCCTGGAACACTACTCCTGCCTCAACGCGCAGCGATATGGCAAGCTGCCTGTCCGCGTACAATCCTGGGGCTACTGTCCCACAATCGAACTGGGTTAGTTTCAGTATTTTAGTGTGCACGTCATTAATCCTAGTTCTTATAAAGTTAACACGTAAACTTAAGCTAACGGACTGCCTTCAGAGGTTGTCTGGGCAATATATTTACTGCGACAAAAGAGATTTGCTTTGAATATTCTGCTAAACTGCTCTGAATAATCTAATCGGAAACGACTTCCAGGTTAGGAAAAATCGTTATTCTGCTGAATTTTGAAATTGAGAAAAAAATGCATAAATGTCCAGTGGACGCACTTTTTTCCCTCTTGACTAGAAGTAACTTTGAACAAAGCCGTAGAGAAAATACTTGTGTTTCTTTACGTCAGAAGTAAGACTCATTTTCTTGGAAATGCTTTTGCTACATAATTATATATTATCCCGTTGATGAGCCATCCATATATGAGTTTTTTTAATTTTAAAATCACCGGGGAGGTAAACTGCAGTAATGGCGGCCCATGACATTTCGACCGTCAATTTCGACAATGCTTATTACGTGTTTCACAGTAAGGATCAGCGGGAATGGCAACTTACGTGCGATTGATTTTATAGTGGTAGAGGATTTTCGTTGCATTTACTGCACTCCCTCTTTCTCCGAATATGGGCTCGGTGGCATGGCAAAGCGGCTGGTTCAACCGCAACCGTTCCTAAGCGAATCACTACACTGGGGCACATCCAACGGATTGGGAATGCTATCGAGGCTACATAATGATGCGTCACTGCAGCGCATAGCACCTATATATCTACGTCTGGGTGTTTCAGTGCCGTGTATCTGTCATCTTAATAAATGCTTTGGTAAATGCGAAGAACGTTATGCGTGTAACGTAGGGCAGTTGTCCGATTTGTCTTCGCCTCAAAACCGAGAATGTCGAGAAGACAACTCGATCGCTGGGACAGTACTTTAATTCGGCTGACGTTTCGATATCCGTCGCGGATTCGTCATCAGGCGAATAAAAGTATTGTCCCAGTGATCGAGTCGTCTTCTTCTCAATTACTTCCTGGGACTCGCATGTTCGCTTGCATCGGCAACCGAGAAATTCGTTGCACAAATTTGTGATACGCTTCGGGTTCCTGATCTAGATAGTTGTATCCTACGAGTTAACCTCATTTTCTCAAACGTGGTAAACCGACAGAACCAGAAAGGAAGGAGACGCGACGTTGAAGCAGCTTTTTTTATTCGCATTATGTTTCGGACTCAGGCTCAAAAATATCATCCAAAGCAACGAGTCATGTGGGTTGATCAGCTTAAAGGCACTTCCATTTTTGGAGGGCGTATTTATCATGCTATCATGTCAAAGGGTAGAACGTTAAAAACCTGATCAAAAAGGTCATGAGTTCGAGTCTTGGGTACTGCACCAACTGAGGTAGATTATGAACGGCTGAAGAAGACTAATAAGCCAAAAAACAGTCATTCCAGTCGCCTTTGTCGTTGCCGGCAATGCTGCCTGCCCAAATCCCACACTCCTCCGGCGGATTTTTGCGCACCCGAGTCATTAATGGCGGCAGTTTAATCACCACTTGGCAAAAGTAGCTTATATAGCCCCACACTTATACTCCTAGTTCCAGCATTTTGTCCTGCAAAACGGTGGTTATAGAGTTTTGTGGGGTGGGGAAACAGGATAGGCAGAGAAGGGAATTTTTAGAAGTAAGTGTAAAGTGAAAAAATGTAGTCGAAGTTACTTCGCGCGGCCGCTGGGAGCAGGTTATTCCGCATGTAAATTGAAGTTGTGCGCGGCGCTTCGCGCCGCGGACTGTAATAATCTAAATACAGAACTTTAAGTTGAACCACAGGTAAGTTGAAGTAGACGACCTCATAACCACCATTTCAATTTTTCAGGAAATTCAAGAAACCTACAATTTGATAATCGGGTTTTTCCGCAATAAGTTA